TATGACAGGACAAATTAAATTTATCTCTATGTTATTGCATGCTTCTAGTTTGGCAAGTTTGAATTTAATTTTGGTATCAGAGCCTATACTATTTCGTTAAAAGAAATTTATATATCTATAATCTTTTGTTTAAAGAAGTCTATAAGTCTATATTAATCTCCTCTGTTCAAAAGAAAAATATTTTTATTCAAAAATCTATGCATATCATATAACTATTTCATATCTTAAGGCTTTCATGATATAAAAGTATTGTTTTGGGTCTTTAATAATAATATAGCTTGTTGAGTGGTACAAAGCAAAAAGTAGAGTTCATTTTATAGAAATATTTTAGTGGTCCATCCAATTATTGAAACTTCATGACTTTGACCTCATGAACATGTAGTATACATCCACTAAGTCCATGTATTAATAGTTTACCCTAAAAATAATATAATACAATTTTTGCATTTGTTTAAATAATAAATGAAATATTTATTTTATTTTAAAATATACTCCAAAGTTACATCAAGAAGACAAACAACGGGACGCTAAAACATGAAATTTATTTTGGAAAAAAAAAAAAGAACAATTATTAAAGATAATATTGGCAATATTGGTTTATATGTGTGTGTGTGTGTGTCTCTCTCTCTATATATATAAATGACTTATATGCTGTATTGTAGATTTTCAAATACAACAATACCAGTAGATCAAACGTAATTTAAGATATTGGACTATACCAAACCAAAAAAAAAAAAATTAGTGTCAATTAGGGAGGATTGGAGCAATTTTGTATTATAGATTTTTCAAATACAAGAATACAAAAGTGGTGGTAGATCAATCTATTAAATGCAGTTTAAGATACTGATGATACCAAACAAAAAAATTCACAAAAAAATTGGTGTGAATTATGGAAGATTGGAGTATGACTTTTGGATATAAAATTTTGTATTGTAAAATTTTCAAGAATACTAAAGTGGTGGTGGATCAATCTTTACACACAGACTTTTGGTAATTTTGAGAAATCAATGTCTTACTCAAAGTTCCATACCAAAAAAAAAAAAAAAAATTGGATATGCTCAACACTCATATATATATATATATACACACACAAAAACATTAAAACATTGCTATTATTATATAGAGAATGACGAGTTAGTAGCATGGATTTAATTAAATAAGAGAAGAAGAAGGAAAGTGTTAGAGATTCAGATATGGTAGTAGATATTTAATAGGATAGGGTTTAATAAGAAGATGACGTTGGAGGGCTAATTAAGAAAATATATAATTATTTAATAACAAGAAGACTGGATTTAAAACGCAATTAAAAATGTATTTAAAATCCTATAATTATCAAATTCCATTTGTAATTATGAGGTTCCAAATAAGGCAAATCCTATCTCCTAATCCGAATCCCATCAAATCCAGCATTCCAAATAAAGCAGTGACTTGGGTTCTCACTTTTGGAAAATTCTAGAACTTCAATAATTAGAAAACAATTTGACAAATTATTTTACGTTCTACTCCAAGAAAATAAATTAGCCAAGAAAATAATTAATGGTATCTCTACCACCTACCAAGTGATCAAGCTGCCGCTGCTACTTATCGTTTTCTGGTGGATCAGTTGTATTTATCTATGTTGTGTTTTGAGAGTCCTTGATCGTATAATTAATGTGTGTGTATGCAGTATGTATGATCGTAATGATCTTTATTATTATTATTAATAATCTTAATGAACATTATTATATCTGTTAATTTGCACATGTAGAGGGCATGCGTTAAAGATCATCTTCTCTATATGTACCACATGAACACATATACAAAAACAGTCAAACTAACTAGATTAATTAGATCCTTAGCAGATGTTGTGTTGATAAGTCTCATCCAAAATTTGTTATTATTGAAGAATTAATCCAATGTTTTAATTTATTCAACTGGGAATTAAGGAAACAAAATTAATTTAAAATAAAAGTTATTTCTGTTGAAAAAATGGTTTTTGACTAGATAAAAACATAAACCAAAAATCAAAATTATCTCTGAAAAAAAACTCAAGTTATTATTATTATAAAGGTAAATAAAAATAAAAAGTTAAATTTGTATAAAGGTAAATTATGATATTATAAAATAAATTATGATAGCATTAATGAGTTTAAGATCTTTAAGTGAAATGCGAATGTTGCTTTATTATTATTATGTACAATAATTTAATTTTTGTACTCCTTAATCATTAATTTAAAGTCTAAAGTTAAATTTGAATGCAACTTTATATTATTAATTTGTAAATTTTAGTAAAGTAGTTTCATCTTGTGGTCCTGACACCACTCGTCACACTCTGTAGTGTTCATTGTAGGAATTTTTCTCTTTGCTTTTCACGTGGATGGATCCCACCAAAAAAAAAACTTAGTGACCAAGGTTCTCAATATTTATTTATCGAAAAAGGTTTACACATTTATATATATATATATATATTTGTTTATATAAAAGCAATCAACTAGCCCTCTTCCTTCCATAGTTCCACAACAAGAGATTTGAAGTGACTGAGCAAAAGTGTTGAAACATGTAAAAACATTAAATAGATATTTTGATTTTTTTTTTTTGTCACTTTTCATTTTTAATCTGTACCACTACTTTAACTTGTTTTGTCAAAAATTTGAATGGTCACATTTTAATTCAAATTAGGGGTACATACGATCCGATTTTGAAAATTTTTAGAACCAAACCGTTCCCTACGGTTTCAGATTTACGATTTCAGATAGAAAATTTGAAACCGTAATAGACCATTTGAGCCATGGAACTAAACCAGGCCAAACCGTGAAAAAAACGGTTTGGTTTGGTTTGGTTCGGTTCGATTTCAAGGTTATAGTTGAAAATTTTTTTTTCCCCTTAAATTGTATATACAACAAAAATATCAATAAAAACATTCACATTCCTGAATTCAAGATTAAAATAGAGAGAGAAAATAGCCATGGAATATTTCTCGTTGTTTTTCACGTGGATGGATCCCACAAAAAAAAAAAAAAAAAAAAAATTAGTGACGAGGTTCTCAATAGTTGTTTATATAAAACCAATCAAATAGCCCTCTTCCTTCTCAACAAGAGATTTGAAGTGACTAGTGTAGATTTTTTGAAGCAAAAACATAAAACCATGTCGGGTTAAAATGTGTAGCAAGTTTGAAAAATATAATGGTTAGTTTAAATAATTATTTTTTATTGTTCATCACTACAGTACTTGTAGTAACAGTGCTAAAATATGTAAAAACACCAAATTGATATTTCAATTTTTTGTCACTTTTCACTTTTAATCTGTACCACTACTTTAACCCGTTTTGCCAAAAATTTGAATGGTCACTTTCTAATTCAAATATCCTCTTCAAAACTACTACCACGTATCACTTATCTAGGCTCTGTTTGGTTAGCATTTTGTTTTAGGTGTTTTATTTTAACCCAAAACAAAACAAGTATTTTGTTATAGTGTGATTTGAATAGTACTTGGAAGTATATTTGGTAACGTCTATTTGTTGCAGGATTTTTTAAAACAAAAATATAAAAACATGTTTGGTTAAAAAGTGTGGCAAGTTTGAAATATATAATGGTTAGTTTAAAAATGTAATTTAAAAGTTTTTTTTTTAACAAAACATTAATTTTTACCATTCATCGCTATAGTATCTGTTGGTACACTGCTGAAACATGTAAAAACACCAAAATGATATTTCAATTTTTTGTCACTTTTAACTTTTAATCTATACCACTATTTTAACCTACTTTGCCAAAAATTTGAATGGTCACTTTCTAATTCAAATACCCTCTTCAAAAGTACTATCACTAATCTTGGCCCTATTTGATTCGCATTTTGTTTTTAGCGCTTTGTTTTAACTGAAAACAAAATAAGTGTTTTGTTATAGATTGAATTGAATAGTACTCGAAATCATGTTTGGTAACGTTTATTTGTTGCAAGATTTTTTGAAGCAAAAATATAAAACCATATTTGGTTAAAATTTGTGACAAGTTTAAAAATATAATGATTAGTTTAAAAATGTAATTTAAAAGTTTTTTTTTTTTTTAAAAAAAAAAAAACATTATTTTTATTGTTCATCACTATAGCACCTGTTGCTACAATGCTGAATCATGTAAAAACACAAAATTGATGTTTCGATCTTTTGCCACTTTTCACTTTTAATCTATACCACTATTCTTACATTGCTTTGCCAAAAATTTGAATGGTCACTTTCTAATTCAAATTATTATCACTTATTTAGTTTGGTTCGGATTTTGTTTTTAGCGTTTTGTTTTAACCCAAAATAAAATAAGTGCTTTGTTATAGATTAATTTGAATAATAATCGAAAGCGTATTTGGTAACGTTTATTTGTTGCAAAAAATTTTGAAGCAAAAATATAAAAACATGTTTGGTTAAAAAATTTGACAAGTTTGAAAACTATAATTATTAGTTTAAAAATGTCATTTAAAGGGTTTTTTTTTTTTTTTTTTAAAAAAAAAATGATGTAATGATTTTTTGTCACTATTCCCAAATGTGCAACAATTTTTTTTTTTTTTTACGAAACATATTTTTTCTATTGTTCACTCTTATAGCACCCAACAAAAACAAAAACACTAAGACAAAACGCATACCAAACACGACCTTAATTTATTATAATAAAAAAATAAATATATAAAAGAATAAACTACAATATGTATTAAAATAGAAAACATTTATTTCTTTTTAGTTATACCCCCAACAAACTCAAAATACAATTTAGAATTAAAATTTAAAATGTGTATATGTATATCAAAAGGAAAGTTTATTGGGAGAATCTTTCTACGTCATGAACTATACGTCACAAAAAATCAGAAAGAAATTTTCCACATGTCCACATGAACTAAAAACCCACTTCTTTGTACATTGGTTGCCCACTTGAAGGACTAATTACATACTTTTTCTTTTTTTCTTTTTTTCAGTTGGATTAAGGAAGGTAGACCAGACAATGTTTATAACTTTATAAATTCACTATATATATGTCATGCTTAAACCTATATAGCATACTACTATAACCTCCTGTGTTTAGTTCTTCGTTGGAGCCATAGAACAAAACATATAAAAATGACAAGAAAAGCTTCTTCGACCTCTTCTTCTATCATCATATGCAGCTTGTTGATGATTTGGATTGCCATGGTTTCACCTGTACTCTCTGTCGGCTGTAAGTACTCTCTCTCTCTAACTCTGTCTCTAACTCTCTCTCTCTCTCTCTCTCTCATATTCATTCATTTTGTTTTGCAGCAAATGGAAAACCTCTCAAGCCTGGGGTGCCCTGTTCTCGTTCTCGGTATGGTAGCTGCATCCCAGTCAAACCTAAACCCTGTTCTCGTCCGTTTATTAGATGCAGGCCTACGCCTCCGGCCCCTGTTGCACCTCCAGCTCCAGTTCAGCCTACGCCTCCAGCCCCTGTTGCACCTCCAGCTCCAGTTAAGCCTACGCCTCCGGCCCCTGTTGCACCTCCATTTCCAGTTACACCTACGCCTCCGGCCCCTGTTGCACCTCAGCCTCCCCGAAGGTGTGGAAGGTATAAGCGTTGCAGGCCTCCAATCGCTGGTAAACCATAAAACTGAAACAAGCGAAGCAGCTGCTAATTAAGCATGTTTGTGGTGGGAATATTAGTGGTTTGTCATCTATTATTGAGATGTGACAGTGTGTATTATGCATGGTTTGTGGTGGGAATATTAGTGGCTTGTGATCTATTATTGAGATGTGAGTGTGTATTATGCATGGTTTGGTTTTATACATTTAGCCAAGCTAATAATAATGTGTCCAATGTATGTGACTGTTTTTCAACTCAATTTGAATTTTCCTTTTACTTCTTATTCTGAGTTATGCGGTGCAGACGCTGTTAATTAATTTAGTTGTGATTAAATTTCTAAATGACCTAAATGAGATTATTAGGTCAACTTACCCAATTGCTCAATTTTTGTGATTGATTAATTTACCAAAGTAATATGATCAATTAAACATCCACAATCATAAAGATAAATACTAAAAAGTAAAATCAGTAAAGTTAGAGAGATAACACTAGAATTTTAGCGAGGAAGCCAATTGAAAAACCTTGAGAATTTTTACGTTATCCCGAGCGTAAAAGATCCACTATGTATGAAGCAAAGTACACTAAACTTTGACTCGGGTTCACACTCTTTAGCTCTACCAAAACCTAATCTCTTAAATGACTCTGACTTTGCGACTTCCCGTCCAACAGCTCTTAACTTCAGACTTAGGCCTCGAATCCTGTAGAAGGATTATTGGTAGATCAACAACACTTCACAAATGTCTTAATCCCTTCAAAGTGTGATCGGGAAATTCTTCTTATTTGAATATGAATTTGATGTAGAAGAAATAAATTTGCTTTTCAGAATTTCTGAATTTTCAATTATGCTCCAAATCCGATGAGATAGAGACTACTAAATCACTTTTGTATATATGTGTTCTCTCAAAACAAAAATAGAAAAATCAGATTTGATTTTTTAAAAAATATTTCTCAAAAGGCTCTCTCAAAATAATAAAATTTTGCTCTAACAAATCATACTTCATTGTTGAATAAAAGAGAGATTAAATAGAAGTTTGGAAGAACTAAAGATGCTTTGAAACCAAGTTAAATTCGTGCATAAATTTTTGAAAGGAAATCCACCCGCAATAGGAATCAAAGGATATTAATCTCACTTCGTTGCCTTATCTTCTTTTCTCGTGGGTGAGACAAAAGATTACTGGTGTATCAGGAACACTACATGAATGTTCTTATCTCTCATGAGTGTGATGGCTTTAGAGAGAGAGAGAAAGAGATATATATATATATATATATATATATATATATATATATATATATATATATGAATTGATGAATATTAAAAGCAACTATTTTTTTGAGACTGAATTAATGGATATTCAATAATTTGAACTCTAATGAATTAAAGGATATTCGTGTGTATAATATTTTTGCTATTAAGATGAAAAATAAATATTCCGAAAATCTCCAAATTTGGCTCTCTTAAGACCGCTGAAAATTGTATTCAAAAGTTGTAGAAAATTCTAACTGATAAAAATGTGTTTATATAGATTTTGTAGAGACTTAAAACAACTTGAAAAACAAGTTTAATTCATGTAAAATTGTCCTACAAAAATTTGATAAAAAATGAAGCAAGTTGAAGTAAAATTGCAAATTCTAAATTGTTTCACAGAACTTGACCAGGTTAAAAAAAAAAAAAAACGACGTGCAGGTTCGTTAGGGTAATTTCAAAAACATAACTTGAATAGTTCAAAACAAAATGAACATGTTAATTTAATGGAGTTTCAAAACTTTTATCAATTTTGAAAATTCTTTTTGAGATAAAACCTATCAAAAATGAGTTCTTGGACACTTACTTTGACTAATATGTTATTCTTGTGGAGATTTTGTGAGCGGTTGTGTTGTGTGTAGGTGCAAGAAGTACTGGCAGGCTACCATGTTGAGCGAGATATAGGTATAAAATCCCATATCGTCTAGGGTGTGAAAATGAGAAGTGCTATATATATGATTGGTACACTTTAATTGATATGAGGTCTTTTGGGGTAAAATTCGAGCTCGGGCCCAAAATAGTCAATATCATACCATGTGGTAGAGCGAGTCATTACAAATAATATCAGAATCTGGCGCAGTCGAAAGTGTGGCCAATGAGACGTTGGCCCCTAAAAGCGTCTTCTAAGGCTAAACATGATCCAAAAACTTGATGATTCAAATTTGAAGTATCATTTGCAACCCTTAATTTATTGTACTCGAGCACAATGTGCACATTTATTTATTTATCGGATGCAATATTCGTATTCTACTTTTTGACATACACCATTCCATTTAAAATGAAATGATTTTTATAGACTTAGCTTCACAAGTCCATAATTATTCTATTTTGAGTTACGCAACTACCTTTGTATTTTTTTTAGATGAATTAAGTGTATGTTGGTTAAATTCATTGTAAAAAGGGCTAAAAATTAGTAACTGAAAGTAGCCAAATTGCACTGCAGAGAACTATGGTGAAAACTACTAGGGAGGATTGAGCTCCCACCGAAAGATAGGATGGTAAGGGCGCGCATCCCCTGCTGTTCTTAACCCTGCAGTCCCCAGCAGTTCAGTGGTTAATGGCCTTGGTTTGGCCACGTTTGATCTAGTTTATAATATGTATACGGGCTCTACTAAAATGATGCAAAACACATTATTCTGTTAACATTTGCCTTCGTTAACTTATATTGTAAATTATTACATAAAAAAAAAACAAATACTCTAAAAATAAAAGCTAACCAATATAAAAGTTAGCCTCAAACCAAACCAACCAAATAACACGAATCCTAAAAAGAAAAGAAAACGAAAAAGAGGCAACCAAAGAACCCTAAATTCTCTGGGTTTCGAATAAAGAAAGGAAAGTCAAAATTCAGCAGGTTTGTTGGTCGCGATCTTCGCCGGCCTTGGTTTGCTGTGCCATCAAATTCCTGTGCCGTGATTCTGGGTTCTTCTCTGGCCACAGTTTGCTTCACTTTTGGGTTCTTCTCTGGTATTGCCGAATTTGGGAGGTTGTAGGTTTTTGGATTTGAGTTGATGTTGATTGCATTGGTAGACATTTTGACATGCATAAAACATCTCTGCAGATACAATTTTACATAATTTCATTTTATCTGCATAAAAAAGTTTTGAAATTGTTGTAAGAGACATGCTTACTTTAAGGTTGTTCAAGTCCATTCTAATTACTTTACAACTATCTTATTTAATCTGTTTGCCTTTTGGTTGTTAGTTTCTCGTACAATTTGTTTGCCTTTTAGTTGTTAGTCCCTTCTATTTTAGAGATTTCTATTATTTTTTCTTCTGTTAATTAAGCTTTAGGCATTTATGCTGAATTTTGAGAATCTATTATATAGGGTTTCACTTTTAATCAATAATATGTGTATATTTATATATAGTTCTTATGTTATTTCTGTATGCATCATTTCCTGTTTAGAATTGGGACAATTGCACTGACCTCCTCTAAGCATATCAGAGAAAGAGAAGATATAATGATAAAAAATAAAAATAAAAATAAAAAAAAGTGAAAGAAAAAGAGAACTTTGAATGAGCCAGTTCAATCTTGTATTTAACAAAGACAATGTTTTTTAGTTTAGTACCAGCTGGCTCTGGACCAGAAAGACCTAACTGAGTAATACCTTATTCATGGGTAGTATGGGGATTTTGCAAGCTCTGTTAGCAGAGTTCGGTGGTGTTTGATAAAACTGCAAGTATTGAAAATTCTAAGAACTGAATTTTAAGTGTTGGTGCTTTAAGCTGCAATCTGAAATTGTTTTTATTTTTAAAGAAAATTATATATTTTATTGGATTTTAAGTATTTAACATTCACTGGTAACTCATAAGTGAAGTCACTGCCACTTAAAATTTTACACAAATTTAAGCAGCACTTAAATTAAAAGTGATTCAAAATGCACTATCAACCACACTTGATTCGATGAACACTTAAATCAATTCAGTATTAAGTGTTGAATTAGGCTATTAAACAAAATCTTAGTCTGAAATCACTGACAAGTGAGGTCAGTGTTATTTTTGAAGAGTGAAGGAATATTAAGGTCAGTGTATATTCCATTGAAAGTTTGATAGTCTGATTTTTTTTTTTTTTTTTTTTTGGTTAAAGCCCAGCTTGTTATAATGGATTACGGTCCTCTGTTTTAGGGGTTTAGGGTTTCTCTTTCCAAGCTGGGTAGCTAGCTTACTGAGGCTTTAGGATCTTTATCGGAAACAATTGAATAACTTGATTTATTTATTTATCTATTCGGTTGGGATTTCTGTCAAGGTTTGAAGAGGAGGGCCTCATCTTTTGTTAACATTTTGGTGATGATCTGTGGAGGGGGGGGGGGGGGGGGGGGGTTGGGGGGTTACTTGTTCTTCAACTAATTTAAGATACTGAGTGAAATATAATTTAACTCAACTTAACATAACCCTACAATCACTCTAAAAATTAGATATTCACATATTGCCAACTAACTAACGTCACATATAAATTTAACTCAATTCAAAATATTATTTGAAATTAAATTTTGTCATTAACTCATTTTAACTCGACTCCCCACTGCACAACCTCTTCAGGCTTCAAGCATGGTCTTTGTGGAATCTGACATTACTCACTGAACACCAAAAATATTGGCCATCCATCCTTAGCTATAGGACAATGAAAAAGGAGATGGTTCATTGGGGCACAAATTCTCTGCTATCCCTTTTCCTGCGGTCCCCTATAATGCAGTTTATTGTGGGCGCAAATTGGCCACGTCTCATTATTTTTGGAAACATAATGAAATTAATATTCATAGCATTTTTTTTTATTATTCCCATGTATTAAAGAAATAATAAATTTAGTTATTCTCTATAAGTGAATCATGGAATTCTTTTATAGTGTTCCAATTACTTTCGTACCAAACAAAATACGTGATGTTTGCAAAAATTACAAAAAGAACCACATTTGTGTTTTTTTTCTTTCTTCGAAATATTAAAAATGCAATTACATAAAAGTGAAAATTGTTGACAACCAAATACCTCATAATCCCTTTCAAAATCCTCTTTAAATTAACATGTGACTGTGTTTTTCTTTAATGCTTTTTTTATATGATAAAATTTAACTTTTAATATCAAATAAAATATAAATAATATGATCTTTTAAACTTGTAACTTTTAACTTTTAAGCTTCTAAATTTATTTAAAGTGTTAGTATGATCTCTGTTTTTATAAGTGCAACATCTCATTATGAACTCATCAACTAAGAACATCAAATGGCCAAACGCGTTGAAAAAAAGGGAAAAAAAATGCAGCA